TAAGTATGCTTACATCATGGTTGTGGTGGAACTTTTGTGCATCAGTAGTGCAAAGTGTATTTCACTGATTTACAAAGTCGGGTTTTGACAAGTCACTCAGTGTTTTTAGGTTTAGCTGGAATGATGAAATGGTGAACCGATCAGTTCTTGTTTGTGTGCCCTTATGACCAACCGTATGATTAAAAGGGTCAAACTTAGTGTTCAGGAGTATATTTTTGCCTGAATAAGTCTTTGTAATATTTTTGGTACTGGTTTTAAAGCCAGACACTGTTCATACTTTCTTATTTTGTGGAGTAGATTTTTTTGATCTTAGGATTGCTTCGAAGAACTATCAAGTTCGGACTGCATGTTTGAGTATGTACTTCTACTATTATATTGGGAGATATCTGAAGGCACAAGATCTATGTCTACATTAAGTATACACTGGCAAGTTAGCATTTTTCACTGACAAATCAGAGTATTGACAGACAGGCGGTTTGTTAATCTCATGAGTGTATCCTTTTGATGAGGCAACATAATATAATATTGAATGAAGTCAAAAAACAAGATTCGTAGTAGTTTTTACATAATATTTTTGTTTGAGATACACTTTTGCGTAAGTCTTTGATTGGTGGTTTTATCAGCAGTTATATGGACAGTCTTGGACTTCGTGAGTTCTCAAATAAACTGTTCGGATTCCTTTATTTGTTCAGCTGCTAAATGTGAATCGACTCTAAGCACAATAGACCACGAGAACTTCCGGTGCTTTTTATTAAGACGAATACATTAGCATGAACTATCCTGAAGGTTAACTGCAAGTGATTTCACTTTAGACCTGCTTATATATCAGTCAGTCAGTAACAACGTAGAACTTCGTACGTACGTACATCAGTTCGAGTTGCCATACCACATTAGCACAGAGATGCAGTTGTCGATTCAAATCCAATAGTGGTAGAGGTAGTAAAATTATAAGCAGTAATCGGAAAGATTAAGGTTTGAAGATGTTATTCAAAGGGTGTAATACAGTGAAATAAATTTGGAAAGAGAAAAAGAAAAGAGACATAAACAATACAGAAGATTAGAATTTGAGAGAATACAAAGAGTGGATGCACCTCCGCCATTGCAAACGGTTTTGAGCCATGTCATTCAAGGTCTCTAACCATCAAATGTTATCATCTCGCGGTCCCCAACCAGCTAGTCTACACCTACCAACATGGCCCAGTCCACTGCTTATATATACCACCTAATTCAATCTTTATATTATCTATGCCATTATATCTTGATGCGGGACTCGTAAGTAAATTAGATACTGAGTCAACTAGAGGTATGTATGGCGTAAGCTCGATCCTTACACCATCGGTTGCAAAAGTAGTCAATGTGTTTTGGGGATAGGTAACAATAGAGTTTCTATTCTCCTATCTATTAAGGCTTTTCCGAGCTCGTTTTTTTCGGTAGGCAATCCATTTTGATATTGGTGTTAATCCTAATGCTATATATATATATATATATATATATATATATATATATATATATATATATATATATATATATATATATATATATATATATATATGATATACCAGGAGTAATCAATAACTGTATACTTTTTATCAGAGCATATTATTATAACCCAAAGCTCAACTGTATCGTATAATAATAAATGTATATTTGCAATGTATGTAGAAAACAAAAAACTTGATCTTAGCTTTTAAGACCAAAATAAAATTAATTTAAAATACCACCCTTACTTTATACTTTTTTTTCAATTAAGTAAACTTATCTTGTTACATTTACACAATTTGCTGATGATACACAATGAAGAAAAAAGAATGAGCAAATTAATTATTCATATCAAGTTCAGTATTTTATTCAGACAAAAATTTATTATCTATTTTTCTGTAGTTTACTCAGGTGAATTAATACACACACACACACTCACGCACATACACACATACATACATAACAAGCCATTAACAGTAGTAACTTTTTTCTGACAATGATTGTACATTGAACAAATATAAATAAAAACTAATTAATATGATAATTTGACAAGAAGTTGACAGTTAGATAGATGATTTTCAATGAAAATCTATGCCAATAACCCTATATATCAGATACATTGTTTGTGACTCAGTTCGTTTTTTTTTTTTGTTTACTCTGTAGTTAATTTTATGCATTTTGAAGTTTAACTTTAAAAATACTTGATATTAAAGTACACATTATCTAAATGAAACAATTAGTCACTTACAATGAGTTTACTTTAATAAAAAAAAAATGATCAAAATTCACCACTATTTAACAATAATAGGATAATTTATACGTTTGCCAATAAACATCAGACACATTGAACAAGTTAGTGGATCTGTAAATAATGAGTTTTCGTTTGAAATGAAAAGCAGTTGGTTGGAGTCTTAATGTTAGTACTAAGAACCAGGTATATCCAGCTGACGTGCTCTAGATAGGACGAAATGCACGTCCTAGGTTTCACTGATAATCATATATCATATAATATAATAAAATATAACTAGTAATGCCGAAAAAAACCTGTAAGAATGATAAATTTCATACTTAGAATTATTCAGTTGCTGACCAATAGACAAAATAAATTACCAATGTCAATTATCACAGTTATGACCCAATTATTTTTATGATCATTTCTATAAAATATAATTTGAAATTTGTTGTTTTGGCATCTGATTCTAGACTATTTTAAAATTATTGTCAGGAAATTATCAGTTTGAATGAATAAAACTCATTATCGAACTGTATGTTACGAATGAAAAAGCAAAAAAAAACGTATTAATTGTTTAACATTGTCTGATTTACGATACTAATTAGCGCAACCTGTGATAGAAACCACTGTGATAAGGAACCTTAATCCTCATTATGTTAGTATGAAGAAGAAACACGATTCTCTAGACACGTTCCTACTTCTATTTTCTTTATTCTATAGATTGACGCGCGAAAATGGGTAAATGTGAGATTGTTTATTCGATTGAAAATCTTCGTCATCTTCAAGATGAATTGTTAATGAGTATCGTTAATATTTAATAGCATGATGTTTACCTACTATAAAAATAGTTTATTCACAATGATTATTATTATCGTTATTACCTCTACCAAAATTGATTATTTATTATAATGGTCGTTAAATGATTCCAGAAAACACGTTAATAAACTTATAAACTGATTTCTCTTTATTACATAAGTTTTATCAGTAATGATTCATTACTGACCAGTAACTAATGTCATCTTTTAATTCATTTTTTATTGGTTGTTTGAATCCTCTCAATGATATTTAAGACAGTGATTAATCAGTCTCTTATTGGTATTTGTGCATTTTGTGCGGATTGCCAAGATATTACTTTAAATCACAAGTATTATTAACAGAGACGGATGGTGGCTAGCAGTAAGATTCAGGACACGTATTTCATCCTGTTCGGTACTCGTTCAAACAGCCAATACAAAATGAATTAAAACTTCACTACATTGTACAAGTTAGTGACTATCTCGACTCAATTGTAAAGTGGATCATGCACTGGCGTTCAAAGTGAACGGTACTGGGTTCGAGTTCCAGAGTGAACATCAACTCTGAGATGCAGGTACATCCAGCTGACGAGTCCCAAAATAGGACGACATGCGCGTCCTGGATTCTATTGCTAGCCTCCATCCATCTCCGCTTATAATGTAATGTTCACTTAATCCTTTATTTTGTTCGGATTCTGTCAATTAAGGTGCGATATGGTCACTAATTTACATGGTTTGACATTACATACATTGGTATTCTATGTGAGGTGGTTGTAGGCATTCGTCAGGTATATTGGATTCAATATTAGTGCTATTTGACATTCGCCAGCAAGGCATAATCGCAATCTAAACGAAATCGGTGTTTCCCGTGACATGACAACCCTCCTTAATTACTGTCACAGGAGCACATACCATTGAATTGACCAGAAATGTCCTTCGTAGTAAGAACATCACTCCCCTCATCAGTATAGGTACATCATGCGGAATAGCACCAACCACCACAGAACCTAAATTCAAACTGACTAATATCTGTTTCCAATCATTCATATACGAGTTCATTGATGAGCTGCTACAACACTCTCATCTTGATTGACTTCAGACTCCACAAATTCTTCTTTGAATTTCAAAGAGTTTATCATGAAGCTAGCGATTGGTAAATGCATGATAATTGTTATTGGCTAGTTTCACTTTGAGCAAAGATATGTAGAACTTGAAGATAATTTCTATTTTAATCATATAGTAGCAATCTTCGATAGTTTTAAAACAGAAATAAAAAGCTGAAAAGCCCTTTGTAGTCCCGAATGCTCTATCAGTTGATGTCAGTTAATTATTATTACTCGTTCTAAGCTGCGTTTTTTCACTTCTATAATTTATCAACACTTCGACTAGTCTGTAAATAAGTTATAAATAAGTAAACTCTGAAAACAGACACCTGGAATGCAGTTCAAATGACAAACAGTACTGTCATATCATGTGACTTTAGATAAATGAACATGACATCCTTCAGTTAAGCTTAATCACCTTTACCCTGGAAAATTAACATTTCAGGCCACACATGTACACACGCAGAAACAAATTATCGAACATTCTATAAAAAACATTTTTTTCAGGTAATACAATTTAACTGTCAATGGGTAGTTTATTACTATGATCATATATTTATTTCTCCAACAAAAAAACTTTAGCTGCTATTGTTTTACTGAGTAAATCAGAACAATTAAGCCATAGTTTACTAGTTTGACACTTGTGTTTTAATGATGACCTTATAGTTAACATTGAAGGGAGATTCAAACAAACAATGTATTATCAAACTAATTTTTAAATATTATGCAAAACCGAAAAACGTTCATTCACACTATCATGGGTTAAATAATGTCAGTATATTCAAAGGTTCAACCGAATGAATAGTTTTTTTGAACTACAGCCTATATATTTAAGCAGAAAACATATTTTAATGATTCATTCGAAACTGAACTAAAACCTAATTATTCTGAATGTCACTTATATTCCTACATAAATTATCAATATTATTATTATTATTTCTACTGAAAAGTACTAGACCTACTTTAAATCTCTTTAAGCAATGTGAAAAAATTCCCAAAGTTGAACGTTTAGATTGTCATCCTGATCAACATGCAAGTCGTCGTGTATGTGAATCTCGAGGATGTTGTTGGATTCCAAAACCTATATTAGATGATGATGCATTGCCAATATGTTTTTTTCCAAAATCCTATCCAACTTATCAAATTTATTCAAGTCAAAAGACTGAACGTGGTTTGATTGCTCAATTGTATAAATCAAATCCAAAATATTATCGAAATGAAGTGAAAAATATTTCATTTGAACTGAGACAAGAAACATCAACTAGGCTACGTTTACGATTTACTATACCATCACAATTAAATAGATGGGAACCATCTATACCGTTAGGACGATTAGAAGATACTCCAATAGCAAATGTGCAATATAATGTTTCAATTGAGAGTTCACCTTTTGGATTGAAAGTAAGTATATGTATACCCATTAAAGTACTGGTAATATTACTTTGTCTAAAGAGGTGGTTTGTATGGATTTTTTTTTACTTCAAGCCAGTTTCCTTAACCAGTTGACATCAACCGGAGAGTGATTGAAATGTATGAAGTATTTTTACTCCATTTCAAGGCTTCTTAAAAGTGCGAACCAGCAACAATACACTAGATTGAACCCTAAAATGTCTAGCTTCCACACCCACTACCATGTCATCTTTAGACCAGTGAGTTAGTATTTTCAGTGAAATTAGATCTTACTAGTTGCTACTTATTAGATAAGTCTATTTGCGGTTTTAATGAAACCAATGTTCTCCATGGAATTCCAACCTATATTAACCAGCATCAAAGTCAGAGATATGAATGGTAAACTACTCAAAATGAAAATTGAAGTCTTTTAAATTTGAAATGATATTTGTTGATAGACCTACTTCAGAAAAGTATCACTTTTATGCTAGCAATTAACCAGCATTCTCTTATTAAAATGAATATGATTTAAAATTAGAGAAAAGGTTAGTAGCTCAAGTGAACACATTTGGTAATGTTGTGCTGTTTGAGTTAGACTTCCGATAGAATTGAATGCCAATGATGTTGTGGAGAAAGACAACCAACACTTTGTAATAAAACCATCCGGCTTAAAGTACACAATACTATCAAAATAATGCTGTTCATTTAATAAATGTTTGCAAATCCCTGTATTGATGACCAAGAACTCAACTTCTCTTTTAAGACTAGTCAGTTGCATTTTTACATCCAACAAACTATTATTATGGGTCAAAAATATCTTGGTACATAGCCAAATGAAAGTGTGTAAAACGTTGTCAGTGGTTTGACACTGAATCAACGAGTACAAATAAATAATAAAGCTAACATTTATTCATCTTCTGTTATCATGTACCAAACTACAAACAACCCATAGTAATCTCTTTATAGCAAATAATCTGTCGAACTATAAACAGCGTGCATCTACCTAAAAAATGGAGGACCATCCCCATGTTCCTTCATAAGGAACATATGCAAATAAATCGTTATTATCATTAGTCTGATTTAGAGTTAGTGAATTCTGAAACATAATAATATTTGAACATTTTTGACTTGATTTACTTTTCACATCGTTTGTATACATTGTCTCACAGCATGTATATTATCATTTAACAAATCTGTACGCTTCATTTTGTATCCACTACTCTATGGAATATCATTATTTAGATAACTTGTGCATTTGAAAGGTACATAAATTCAAAAAAATGGAATCCAGTTTTCTACTCCCTGCCCTTAATCTTATCACCATGTTTAGAATTCATTTAATTGTCTTAAAAAGTCGATTCAGATGTTCAAAATTCAAAATCAGATTGAATATAAGGTTGTTTATAAAATTAACAAATTTCACACTGTCAATCATAACTATTTATTTTCACTTAATCTCTTTATAATCATGTAATTGTAGCTATCTAGCACTTGGAATACTTCATATTCTTTTTTCTAATGAAAACCCTTTTTAGAAAATTGAGTATTGTCTACTCGTTGATGAAGTTATTCTGATGATACAAGTGCTTAAATTTTGAACATTAGTTTTCAGGTTCGAATAGTGCATCATTTACCTAGTTCAAGGCAACCACATAGTCTCACTAGCCTTTACAAATCAAAATTGTTTCTAAGTGTAATAGGTCAATTCACAATGGATTAACGAATTACATTACATAACAGAATAAAAAAAGATATGAAGACGATGAATGGATTTTACAAACTAAGACTAACGATACCAGTCTACTTATTACATAACTAGCATAATGTTTATTTAGACGGGAATTCAAATCTATAGAACTGGAGAAAGAATTTATTTAAAAAAATCACTTTTCTATTATTGTTCTAATAATCCTGTATTTTATTTAAATGTTAAAATGAAAATATGTGTTATCTTATAAAATATTGATGTAAATAATCAACGAACATATGTCTTCCTGATTAAATAAGTTGACTGTTTGTGTAGATAATAGGAAGTTCATCATCATGATCCCAAAATATTACAATAATAAACTGTTTTACTATATATAAGAGATTTGTGAAAATTATATCTCAGGAATATCTTAATTAGACAACCAATAAACTCATGGAGTCACTGAATAGGGTTTACGTCCGGATGTGAGACTCCTTAATTGTGTCCACTGAGCCCACTGGGGATCGAACCTGGGATCTTCGATTTTCATGAAGGACGCTTAACCATTTAAACTGCTGCATCAGCATTCAGCAATACAACTGCAATTGACATAGACAGATACCTTGAAGCACACTGTTGAGTAACCTTTTACGAGAGCGAAACAGCTGTCTAGTGTTGTTTGGCTAACATCTGTACTTTAACGAAGACCAGTCAGTGGTGTAAACTAGGATAAATAATCTGCATGGTAGGATAATGTTCGCATTGCAATACAAATTGAGTGAAGCTAAGAAAATAAAAAAATGTATGGAATTAGACTAAGTGTTTGGTGTGATTGTGGTTCATCATAAGATTTGAGAATCTCTAATTTGGCCCCGTGTGTAGTTATAGCAATCCACTAACGAGGAGCACCAAACTGTAACGAAAAATCTATCCAGTTTTTCCCAGTTTTCCATGATAGTACTATCTATTCGTAGTTAGAGCTATTTTCTCATAACTAAAATCTTATCTGAATAATAGATCTAACAACTGACAATAGCCATAAATTTACATACAGATATATGAAACATTGTAATTTATAATAACATATACAAACTCCTCAGTTATTGGCCCAAATGACTTTATAGAGTCAATAAGCTTTCATCACTCATATCATAAAAGTTGAAGGAAAACTAGGGGTGGTCAAACTAGGAAGTTGGGTCAGTTAATGAAGCCACTGACTGTTGGATTGAGCCATATTGGTATATGTAGACTATCTGGTTATGGTCAGTGCAATTATCGTGATAAATGTCTAGAGATCAATCACAATGGCGCAGATGCAGGTGTTCTCTGCCTTTCCGTAGATCCCAAATTTTAAAATCATCTTATACTTTCAATTCCACTAATTCATTCATTCTTTTTAAGCATATCCTTTACATGAATATAGAAGATAAATCTATCAGAAGAACTTATGATTTCTTATATTCATAACATATTTCTATACCACAAATACAACTCACACAATTACTAAAACTATGTGCTAAGAAAGTTCAGTTCAATTTTAACAACAAATTATACTGTCGAGTAGGTAGTGTGTTAATGAGCAGTCATTTAGGACTTGTCTTTACCAATACATTTGTTGAAAATTTCGAAAGAAAAAAACTATAAACTCTCACTAACGTGACTACACAATAAGCAAGATGTGTCAGTGGTACTTTGATTTTGAATAACTGCGTAAACCACGAAAATAAAATAGTTAGATCTTTCAGCAACGTCCACCGCATGGTATTTCCTGGAGAAATGATGAAATTTGTCAAAAGTATGTATATAGAAAAGAGACTTGGAATAGTCAGTATATAAACCTTCACAGTTTTTACTCCTTTAGCTAAAAACATGCATACCACAGAGCCAGACGGTTAGATTTATCAGAAAAGCTCGAGGAAGAGCATACTGTAATAAAGGATTGTCTATAAAAGAACAGTTACCCTTAATCAGCGACAAACACTGAGTTACTATGGAAGGATATACACCCGAAACAACAATATTTTCATTCGATTCTCATTTAAAAATGATCAGATAATGAACAGGATCAATCAAACATGAAAAGCAGCCTTAAAAAGTACATTCTCTACTGTAAAGTTGATTCCGTTATACACAAGATTATAATCAAGAACACAAATAAAAGTGAATACATATCTGTCACTTGTTACATCTCGATGTATATACCAGCTTACATGTATATGCAAAAGCATGTTCATTGTAAGGATAGAAAGACAGGATTCTATTCGTTTCAATGAACATATTCTAAAGATCCTATGCCTTCAAGGAAAAAGCTATTTGCGAATTTCAGTAGTACACTATCTACTAGATTCAGAATGTAACTCAGGCTTAATGAATTCATTCAAAGTTATCAATAAACATACCAATTCCATGTTACTAGAATTCTGAAAAACTATAGTAATCACAAGGATTAAACCTGACTTTTAAATTCAGAAATAGTCAGTAATTAACCCTCAACTGCATTGGTAACATTTTAACCTCTTTTTTTTTCAACTCGTCGTAAGAATAATTTAATGAATTGACCTGACATGACCACCTTTTCTAAATTTCCAAAGAAAAGATGTCCGTTATAATATTAATCCATAAAATTATCTTAACAATATAATAATTACTAGTTCATGTAATTATAATAAGACCCATTTTTTTATAACCGTAATTGTTAACTTCTATCATATTACACACAATTTATTCATTATTGGTTGGCAATTGATTTTTAACATGATGTTATTCATTTCGAAATAATTTAACATATTAACTTGTATTTCACTGAAGTGAAAGTAATAAAATGAAATGAATTCATCGTATTCTGTAGATATTGTTGTTCTTGCTTCTTCTTCTTCTTCTTCTTTTTTTTTTTCAAATTTGTGAATGGTACAAATTGTATGAACATATTCTTTATACTTAATCGTATGTTTGTTTGTTTGCTTGTTTTTTGTTACTATCACTAACCAATATGAATAATTCTACTGTTTCAGTATTTATCTCGATATTTTTTTTAATCTCATTATATAATATATTTTAGTAACTTATGCCATTTTACATTTGTGCCAAATTCCTGCAAATGATTGACCAATCAAGATGAATGATTACTAGAAAGAAAATAATAATAATGATTTAATTTTTGAAAAGTGAATTATAGAATATTTTTTTAATCTGAATTTTAACATGTAGTAGTAATATGTATTACTATTCTATACATAGTAAGTAATATAGAGTAAATTATTAGATTGATAGACATAATATCCAATTATTAAAAGTAATATATAGTGATTTAGATATCAACAAT